CAAAGCATATGTCCGTCCAAGCCATGCCCAGGAGAATGCTGTGGGAGACGGCGTCAAAGGCCTTACTAAAGTCCAGTAGACAACGTCCACAGCCTTCCCCTCATCCACCAAGCAGGTCACCTCATCATAAAAGGAGATAAGATTAGTCAAGCAGGACCCGCCCTTCCTGAACCCATGCTGACTGGGTCTGATCACTTGGTTGTCCTGCATGTGACGTGTGATGGCACTCAGGATGATTTGTTCCATCACCTTCCCTGGCACCGAGATCAGACTGACAGGTCTGTAGTTCCCCGGGTCTTCCTTCCAGCCCTTCTTGTAGATGGGTGTCATGCTTGCAAGCCAAAAATGCTACATGACATTTCAGAGCACAGCTCGACAGACTTATTAGGCAATTGGGATTGTTTTCTGGAACAACAGGTAAAAAAAAGAAATTACAGCCCATTTACCTTCCTGACCAATATAGTCCAAGTTCAATGCCGTGGATCAATACTACAGTTGAGTTATATCACCTCCTACATCAAGCTCATATGGCTGAGATGCACTGAAATTGTTAAAAGGAGAGGGAAGCAATCAATGCAGAAAAAAATACCCCTCAAACCTTAAATAAAACCATTTCACTTTCTATCACTTTGCTAAAATAAGCTTTTTGGCAGATACTAATATTCTAAGCTGGCTGGCATCCTGAAATGAGTTTGTGGGAATCAGGTACCAAAAATGGGTGGCTTGGAGAGAATGCACAGCCTCCTGTGAGGGTATTTAACATTTTCCTGCTGTCCAAGGTGTCTGCAATGGGCCAGGGAAGGTATAAACCTTGCCTCTGGAACATATAATGTAGTGTATCCAATGCGAAGTCCGGGTGTCATACAGAATGTGACTGCCAGGTACAGGATTCTTGGTATTATCACACAGCATTGCCAGTCTTTCCAAGTGCATAGCCCTTTACCAAATCCAATCCATGCAGATATCATTCAAGGGTTGGGAAAGGATGAGTCACAGGCATCTGGGAGGTGACATTATGTGGGTTCTCATTTTAACTCTCATTGTTTTTCAGCATACAAAATATACACAACTTAAGCTAATTTTATTGAATGCTGCTATAATAAACCCCTCCTGTTGACTGCTCTCTGCAGAGTGCTTTAAAATGAAAGTGATAGCTAATTGACTGTTTTGCAGTTCAAAGAGTGCAACTGAGACTGATCTCGACTAAAGTGTAGTTGTTTGCTGAATGTAACTTCTCTGTAACTGCTGACTACTCAGAATACATGCATCTCTAAGAGCTGTTGTTACTTCTCTAGTGGCAATAGCATGTATTTGTTCCCTCCACAAGATTCTAGTTCTCTCTGCAGTACCCAAAGATTTAGACCAGTCATCCAGATATTGAGCCTCAGGCTCTATATAACATATATAGCATATATAGCAGATCAAAACAAACACTGAGGTAGTCATTTGAGCATGCAGCAAATATCTAAAAATAGGTTTGGACTCCTAAACTTATATGATGGGTACATCAGCTAACAACAACTCTTGCTTTAGCATCTCTACCAACTCCCAAAGAATTAAATACAGAACCAGGAGTCTGCCAGCAGGAACATTGTAACTAATGATTACAAGGAAAACTATAATGAAAATCTACACCATTAGCAGAAAATGCAGCATGGTTTATACCTCACTGAGGGATGGCCAAAGAAATTCATACTTGCCATGGCATGCGAGAATTCCCAGAGCCAAATACTGCGGTGGAGGTAACGCACAGGCCAGACCTACACTGACCCTTCCATGAGTCATCTCAGCACCCATATCCTACATCAAGTGTCTTGTTTCATTAAGATCATGACATCTAGTTTCAAGTGAGCTTCCAAATTCTTTTCAGAAAGAGCAGGATTGGCCTCAGAGCATTTACCAACATAAGCCAATTATGCCTCCTGCATAGCAAATTTCCGTGTTTTCAGATCAATATATATCTCCCTTATGAGGAGCGGCTGAGGGAGCTGGGTCTCTTTAGTTTGCAGAAGAGGAGACTGAGGGGAGACCTCATTCATGTTTATAAATATTTAAAGGGTGAGTGTCACGAGGATGGAGCCAGGCTCTTCTCGGTGACAAACAATGATAGGACAAGGGGTAATGGGCACAAGCTGGAACACAGGAGGTTCCACTTAAATTTGAGAAGAAACTTCTTCTCAGTGAGGGTGACAGAGCACTGGAACAGGCTGCCCAGAGAGATTGTGGAGTCTCCTTCTCTGGAGACATTCAAAACCCGCCTGGACGCCTTCCTGTGCAACCTCAACTAGGTGTTCCTGCTCCGGCAGGGGGATTGGACTAGATGATCTTTTGAGGTCCCTTCCAATCCCTAACGTTCTGTGATTCTGTGATAAGGAAGAGAAACACCACTGTTGTATAATACACACGTCTTGCTTCTTACCCATTTATTACTGGGAGCAGTTCTAAACTCATTTTATGCAGAGAGTGGTTTATATTAATGTTAGATTAACTTGACCTTGATTTTATTAAATTTGGAAATACAACAAAAAAGCCTAAACCACTACTTCTGAGATGTGTTTGCAAAGTGCTTTAAACATTTACAACTCACTAAATGCTAAATGTTAAATATCACGATGTCACGCAAAGTGGAGTAGCGAAGACGGCAGCATTATAACATTCTCAGTACACTGAAACCAATCACTGAAATATTCTTGTTTGTTTCCGTATAGCACAACTAAAAGCAGCTGGCAATATACAGATGCATCTAGCCTAGTATCTAGAGAATAAAGACAAGTTTTTCTAATTACTTCTGACTTCAAGTTTCTGTATTCTGGAAAGTTTTCTTCACTGTAAAGTACTAAAAAATTATATGCCATGTTAGAGGCACAGCCTCTGTTACTGCTGTGCGACACAAATGAGAAACAATGAGTTTTGCTTAGCACTACATTAGAATTCTGCTTACTTTTTTTCAGACTAATTTGCATTTAGGTGAGGGAATTTTACTAATGCGCTGTGACAGTTCAAAATATTACTTTTCCTGCATGGAAAAATGTTAAGAATAGCACCCAACTGCACAGTTGCCTTTGATATGTTGGTGTCTGATGTCATTCAAACAAACAGATGAATTCATTTGTTTCCCAGGGTGAAACAATAAATATTTGTAAGTGACAGGATATCTATCATGCTGCTAATGCTAGTTTCATCCTTGTATCCTACTGTTTTTCTCAAACTGAGTACACGAATTTGAAACCTTGCTCAATCCATTCAAATATTACTGGGGTCTTATCCAGGAATTTCCATAAGAATTAAGTAAATGGAGGAAGTGTCATGTTATTATTTATTTATTTAGAATCCTAAAGAACACGGCTGTCCTGAACCTAGATCAATAATATCTCGTTAGTGAAAATGCAGGTCACAAACAGAATGTCCAGTCAGAAACAACTGCCTTCTAAACTAATCTGCCTTACAGATGAGTAAATTCACTAAACAACCTGTTAAACAAATGCTATCATGTTTGCTTTCCAAATGCAAGAAAGGCAAAAGCTGAGAAGCATTCCCAGGAGCAAATAAAACACAATAATTTTGTTTTAACAATTGTAAGAGCAATAATACAGTGTTTTGCATATATGACTACCTATATTAAGCAATTAATGATGCACAGTAAGGTGAATGTAAAATAAACACTGCTGATTATTACCTGCTCTTTATACCTGTGCAATGCAATTCTGATTCTCTGCATATGTCCCATTTCATCAGGTCAATACAAATCATGTTTTGTCAGTTTTTATTAAATCAGCTTAAATCCAGTCACATAGCACACACTTCAATGCAAATAGTATTAAAAATGTTTTCTGTAATTCCAGTTATTTTAAAATGTGAATAGATACATCCGATTACCCAGTGACTTGCATGTCAAGTTTATTGCATTTCAAGCAAGTATTTACTCAAGTTGTTGAACAATCATTTAAAATACTATTCCTCTTGACTTTTAAATTACAGTCCACAAGCTACTGAGGAGGTGATTTGCTCTCTTTGTAAGAGGAGTCACTTGAGCTAATGCTAATGGGAATTACTGAGGCATACCATTAAAGTTTCAGACAGCCTGAAGTTTCCAACAAGACTAAGAAATACTGCTGTGCCACTTGCACACTGTTTTGCTATAAGTGAAAGCTTAGCAAAGGAACATGGGAAAATTTTCCTTCTACTTTACAATGATTAAGTCTCATTTCAGTTGTACTTATGGAACAATAAAAAATTAAATACATACAGTATGTTCAGTAAGCATAGTTACATCCAGAAAAACAGGGAGCAGGGGGATAGAAGGGGAGAAAGAGAAAAAAAGTTAACTGGTTTACCTGATACTGTACAACACTTTCCCAGTTTTAGAAATCCTCAGCAACTTGTTGTCTGTCGTGACATCATGAAAGTTTGCTCCCTTCTCATTGGCAAAGAATAAATCTGGCTTCCAAATAGAGTCCAGCATAGAGGGATCCAAATCCAGGGAATCATCAGGATATTCGCTGTAAGCCAGACGTGAGTCATTCCACTGCTGTCTCAAAAAAATGTTCACTCTGTAGTCCTACAGAAATGCCATGTGAAAAAGTTACTAAGCCAGTTACCAAAACTGAAAGCCCACTTTAGCTTTCTTTATGCTCTTAGACTTGCTACAGTACCAGTGTTACAACAAACATTCATGTTCTCCTTTGAAAATTAGAGCTGTCATTTGAAAATAAAGCAGTTTAAATGCTGTATTGAGCAAACAACCACAACTGGTACGTTTTCCAAATCAAAATTACTTCAATGATGAAAAAAATATTAACTGCAATATTAATATTAAATGTAACCCTCTTTCAAATGCTATGGATTAACTCAGAGGTACTTAGAAAGTCAAAAAGCATTGCAACTAGATATATACAATTTCAACAGTCTATAAAACTACTAATTTAAATAAATTGCTTCCAATATGTAAATTAATTATTTCTAATGTACTCATGAATAGTTGCTAATTCCAGTGAAGACAGATTTGTATAGAAGAAGTTAAATCAGCACTTTTTATTTACTGTTTGTGTCCTTTTTCTATCTACTGTATGCTTTTCTCTGTATGTTCCTTCATTCACTCCTCCCTCTCTGCATCCCATTAAAATTGTTCTAATTGCATTCTTCTGCTCAGTGGTCTGCGAGTCACATCTGGGAAAGGCAGCAATTACTTAGAGGTTCATTTAGAACCAACATTAATGCTGTGTCAAGAACTGGTTATTAAAGGGGAGTGTGAAAAGAGCCTTTAGGGTCTAAATTCTCTGGAGGGAATGGAAAGATGCTTATGTTTATTCTCCTTATTCTGAATTTCCAAAGTCAGCAATAAGAACTTCATCTCCCCAACTTTCCCTGCTATTATAGCACATTTACCTGAAATTACTACATTTATCTTGTTTGTGAACACTGTCTTAGAAATATATCTACTTTTCCTCTGAAAGGAAAATTTTTAACAGTGTTTATATCAACTATACCATGTGAAGGAATATAATATCAAATAATTTTGCCACCAGTACAAACCTCTTACATTTAGGATTTGCTTTTAGTAGTCTCAGTATGTTAAAATGGCAGCACTGTGCTTTTGACTTGGAAAATATATGAGCTGACTTGGGTTTTCTTAGACCACTGAACTGCATAGTCTAAAGAACTTGTCATCCTTGAAATGTAAATAAATATTCTCATTCTGATGAAGCAGAGGCAGCTTGCCCAATATGAAGATTCTGTGAACGAGCGTCTCCAAAGCGTCAGCATTTCCCACCCTTTGTTCAGTAGGTTGGTGATGAAGTGAGCTGCTGCCCTGACAGAATATTTCTGACTTCCAAACTGATGCAGTTTTTGAACCCAATGGGATGATGCTTTACAATCTTAATAGGAACATCATTTTGCTTTCTTTCTTTATTCATTTTGCTGTCAGGTAGATATGAGTCAAAACAGTAATGTCTACTAGTCAGAGCAAGACTGTCTTGAGAGAGGTCTCAAGAATAGCACATTTGTTAAAGATACTTACGAAAGTCTGTATCTGTTTTTCACAAGCCACTGTACTTTTAATGATGGTATTAAACATCAAATAGCTACTTGCGGTTCTGAGCTTATAAAACGTCATCACATCTTGTGAGGATACGCTAACCCTAAGCACACTTTCCCTTGTTTCTTGATCTTAAAACCTGGGAGTGTCTTATAGCTTACATGGGACAGTTATAGTTATAAATCCTGGAAAGCACTTGATTTTCATTCTGCAGAAAAGAAGGTAGTATAAAATAAAATTGCTACAAGTACTTGTGCAACTGCCTTTGATTTTTCTTTTAAATAATATAGTGAAGTCTATGGAAAGCAGAGGGATTTTTCCCCTCATGACACAGAAATCATAAATAAGTCGAATCAGTAAATTGTTTAAAAATATCTAAAAATAAATGTGCTTTCATGAACTTCATTAGTTGGTGATTTAGATAAAAAAAAACAGACTGAAAAAATGCTTATTCATTGAAGAACTTGCATATGATGATATATATTATACCAAAAGCATAAATAATATCAACAGGATTACACTATCTTTTTCAGCATCTACCTTCATAAATATATCAGAGCCATCAGACTGATGCTTTCTGCCTGCAAGCTTTGTTGTTAGAAGCAAAACAGCTCTGAGATCTTTGTTTATGTCTGATAGGTTTTGTGTGTATATATAGGTATAGATATTTTAATAAGAAATAAAAATGGAAGTGTAACATGCACATCACAAAACCATCATTACTTTTTTCTCCTATGCTTGCAGTATAAGCAGCTGAGAGGGCTGTGTGTTTACACAGTCAGACCTAATCATGCAAAATTTTTCTTTTTTTTTTTCCCCTGTGCTAACATCATACTGTCTTCTGAAGAAAAATTCTCCTGAGAAGGGTATCATAACATGGAGCTCAAGCAGACTACAGTGTGTATTTTGCAAATTCCTGAGGGTAGAAGTGGGTGGACTGTAGTAATGCACTCCTACGCGACCACGAGTACACCTGCTCCACAAATTCTTTCTGACAGCACCACTGCTCTGAACGAGGAGTGTAGACCTGAAGATTCAATCTCAGTTGCAACACTGGTGCCAGTGATAGCTTGAGGCAACTCAGATAAACAGTTTTCCTTTGTTCTCAAGTCGTAAGATCAGAGTAATACTAACATACTAAAGAAATATTAATCTGATTAGTTTTGGTAGATTTATCAGAAGATTTAGGGACTCAATCTACAGATATTCTTAGTTTGTCTTATAGGAAACTAGATAGAAATGCTCTTTCAGCAAATCCATGGCCACCAGTTTCACTGCCCAGAGCTTCAGCAAAGCTCTAGGTCTCTTTGGTCTCAGGCACTGCTCTGGCAGAGGAGTGCAGGGGAGCCCCTCTCCCTCTTCAGTGCTACTTTCTGTCTCTGAACTGATGCTTATCTTAGATCTTGGCCTTCCTCCCGTCTTCCCCTCCAGCAGCATTGATCATCCAGGTGTTGAGTTGGATGTCTGACACAAACAGCAACCTTAGCTGGCCTTCCATGGATAGAGAGGCTTGCCAAAGAAACAACTCTATCTCTCTAAATCCTAAATATGAATGCTAACTGAAAAGTAGTGGTTTAATGACCTATTTCAAGGCCATGCGACAGAAAAGCACTTGGCTACCTACATACATAAGCATGCAGTGTGTCCCCAGTGGCTTCAGTGGGAGCCTCTTATGCAGTTAAAACCAAACATGTGAATTAATCAGGATCTAACAAGCTGATTTGTAATTACGTTTTTTCCTAGTGGGAAGACAGTATCATACAGACAAGCTTTATTGCTCCTAAAATTTTAAAAGGAATGGCAATTTTTTCTGCTAACAGTACTCAAAACACAACTGGAGTTTGATGCATTTACCCCAACAGAGAACCTGCTGCATAATGTCAGTCATTGATTATAAGGCATAACGACAGTAATAATATCCTCACTGTTAGTCATTTCTGTAATTAACAATTAGCTCGTCAATGTACAAACTGCTCTTAGCTTCTACAGCTGATAGCTAAAAAATCCTGGTCATTAGCAACACTGAACATCTGAATTCTTTGGGACTCTGCCCAGCCTGATGTAGATTACTCATCTGTGATACTCAACTGCAGTCATGCTGTACAGAGAATTTACTGCTGAATACTGCATGTGTGAATGCTTCCTAAAATAGATACAGAGCTTACTGGCATAACTGCTTTATTCAGTGAAGTTACTCAGGAATGTATTTTTCTCTTTCTTTGCAAGTTAGGGCTTAAATGAAAGACAAGTGAATCAATGAAGAATATTTCCAACAATTCCACCTTGACTCTAGGGATTTTTTTTTTTACTATTTTTATTTTGGTATAATATATATCACTCCAATATGGAAGAAAACAATTTCTTTCAGAGAAAAAAAATGAATTGTGATACTATCCCATACATGCATTGTAGTGCAGAAACACTAATGCATATGCATTTTGTCTCCCTAGATCTTTGGGAACAAAAAGAGTGAAGATTCTATGGAATTCATCCCTTTGGAGAGAACCAGCACAAAATCCTGTTTTATTTCTAAATGAAAGGTTTTAGCTTTTAGAAGACTATGCTGGACACAAGAGCTGTGCTGCCCTTTCACACAGGGATGAATTTCATCCTGGTGTCTGTCCTAATCAGAAAAAATAAGCTACTTTTGCTAATGTTAGTGAGAACCTGGCTTACTGAAATTTAGTATGCCTGGGACTTTAATCTTAAAGCTTCTCTAAACAAGTTTTTGTCTCCCAAGTTTCCAATGAGCTGCTGTAGATCATCCAAGTTTTATTCTGATGAATCCCTTCATTACATATATACAGTGTAAGTAAGCATTGCTGCCCTCTGAGACAGGAATTTCTCTATTGAATTTACAATTTAGAGTTTTAAAGAAACCTTTTAGTTTTATGTCAAAACCATCAAGAGCATTTTATAGGGAAAAATGAATCCTAGAAGTCAAACAAAAATCATTATTTATCACAGGGGATGCCAACATTTTTACCACATGGTTACATCTATTTTAGAAAGGCAAAGTACATGGAGTTGTAATTGATGCCTGCCTCTCAGAACAATTTTAAAGCATCCTAAAACTAGTCACATTAGTCATTAAAGAAGTGACAGCAATAAGAAAATCAATATCAAACCATTGAACAGCATCTAAGAGAAAACTTTTCACACTTCTGGCAGATATGAACAAAGCAAAATAAGAAAGCCAATACTCTTTGTTTTCATCTACTTGAATGTTTGGCTGTTTTCAGCAGAATGTGTTAATGAACATTGGAAAGGTGCACATTAACATATTTGATAGAAGGTAAAATGCAATGAGGGGATTTAATCAAAGCAATGAAGGAGTCTAATTAATGCAATCAGCATTAGGTCGTGCAAATATTTTCATTGAATGCCATCTTGTAAAGCCAGTGACGTGCTGGATTTTTGCTACTTAACACCATGCTGATGCCTCTACACGCTAGGATCAACAGACACGGCTGGGCAAAAAAGTGCTGCATTCATAGTTATCTTTTCAGAATCCTTTAAACATAGGAAAAAATTTTTCAAAACACCTGAACATTAAGTCTGTGTATAATTATGTTACATCAAGATATGCTTTTTTCCTGTCATTTTAAACTTGTTTTTAGCTTATTTTAAGGTGCTTTTAAAATATTACACTTACATACTCTGAAGCCTTAACTTACCTGTTTATTTTGTAGCTCTATATGTTATAGCTTGTCATTTATAGATGAGTCTTTTCCACACTATTTAGGAAAGCAGCTTGCCCTAGCAATAACTTGCCCTTTATCTCCAGAAAACATTAAATAACAGGGTGGGTTTTGAAATAAAAATACTTAGGAGCAGGAGATTTGTGTTCCTGTGTCCCTTAGGCATCACTTTCTAAGATGATGGCATCAATTACAATTGAAATTAAATGAAATATTTGAATAATTTATAAAATATTTAAGTTAGGCTAAATATTTGCTCTTCCTTCATAATGCAAGGATTGCAAGGTATTTTCTGTCCCATTTTATAAAACAATAGTTCTTTGGTATATCTTAAGTGCTTTTGTGGGTAGCAAGTTCATTTTAGTTATGAAGAACTCAGTCCTACAGGATACTGAGCTCCTTTATTGCCTCTGGCTTCAGCAAATACAAAGACCTGGACACTGTGTGGGAATTCGTGGAAGACAGTTGTAGAACTACATTGCAATTGCTTCAAAAGTGTCCATAGCTGTCCATAGTATCCTGAGGCAGTGAAAGTAACTCTTGCAAAATTCCAATTAAAGTGAGAGTGCTCATTTTTACTTTATTTTGTGGTAGCAGTGACTTGAAGAATTCGAAGTCAGGCTGGGATTTATCACTAAACCCTTTCTAGAATGAGTTTAGCCTACTTCTTGTGTATAAGGACCTGATAATTGTTATGAGTTTATCACATTATTATAAGAAAGCTATCAAAAATTTTTCTCTGGACTAATCCCAGTAGTCAGGTGTATGCATGCTTGAATAAATAACTGATCTTTTTTGTCCACTGTTTGAAAAGGAAGATTAAAAAACTCAGCATCTTTTTAAACAGACCCAGAAATAATATTTTTCATTTTTCCTAGCAAATACTGAATAAAAATCACTTCTAGACTGAAAAAAAAAGAAAAAGTTGGACTAAAATGTTCATTTCTATTTTTGTATCTTGACTTTATTAATCCTAAAATTTGGAAATTTTAAAAGAAACACCTCATCTTGAAGTGAAAAACTGAACTATTTATTTTTATATATATCAAAATTAAGCCTCTGACATTTTTATTTTGGCCTTGTTTTTTTGACTGATAACATTCTTTGAATTCAGTCAAAATACACATTTCAGTTGGCTGGAATCTCATTATTTCCTAGTACCAATTTAACCCTCAAAATACCCAAGTCTCCTTATAGCTATATCTTTTAGTCATTTGGGTCAGGTTAGGCGTTCACTTAAGTTAGGCATAGTTACTGATGTGGCTGTAATTCACAGAGATTTAGCTGAGTTAAACAAGGCCATCCTGGTAGCTCTGTCAGCACAGCCTGCAGCAGAAGATAATTCAGCATGTGGTATAAGACCCGCTCAAAATATGGAGCACTTGGCAGGGAGCCCCACAGCTGAGCTCCAGCCATTCCTCTGCCTCTTCAGAGCCACTAAAACCTGAGAAAGCTGGTTTGCACACACCGCTACTTGCTGTTATCACAGTCACTGCAGACTGTGATGCAGTCACTACATATGTAAGTTCAGACATGGTAGTTGAGTTTAATACTTTACATATCTCTTTATATGGTTACTTTATATTTATTTTATTTTATTTAATTCAGCTGGTAGGTTTTTAGTAGCTTACTCTCTTAGTAAATGTCCCCATGTCCTGAGCATCTCTATTCTACATCACATCCCACTCCTTCACAAGATGGCTTCAATGACCAGTCCCACTCACCATTGTAGTTTCTGCTATTGAACCAAAGCTGTTGATAAATATGTTGCAGGTAACATTTACAGGAGGACCTGCAAGTTGAACAATAAATAGAAAAATTGACAGGTTGTGTTCATGACATATATTAAGTATTGTTGTTCTCTTGCCAATGACATCACAGCACTTACCATTGTGGTTTCTGTGACTGATCCAAAACTGTTGATAAAAATATTGCAAGTAACGTTTACTGGAGGACCTGTGGAATGCAATAAAAATGTTGCAATATACATTGAAACAAAAGTACAGATCCCTCAGCCTCCGTACAATCTGATACAGATGTGGCTGAAAACAAGCAGAAAGTGAGTTTTCCCAGACAGATCACGTAAATATTGATAAAAAGAAAAACATTATCAACACTAATTTAATTAACCTAGTTTCATTGGAAGTTGTTATATAAATACACAGAACTCCATCCTTGCATTGAAGGATTTATGAAAATAGTTGAGTGAGGGCATAAGTGTAACAGCTTTTTCTTTATCCACAGTATCAGTACAGAATAAGCTTTAGCATTGCAACCACTCTTCTCTTCCTTCTCTGACTTAAAATTAAAATAGTATCTTTCCACACCTATTCCACTCTGTGTGCAATGGCTTGCCACTGAATTTTCCAGCAGGAACTACCTGACTCCAGTCCACTGAAAAAGGACTTGAACAAGCAGCTCTTCTTGCACCTGATCTGAAGGTGTCTGCCCCGCCATAAACAAATATTTTAGCAATATCTGTTCTGGCTTGACACAGCTTTCATTAAACAGCTAGTTGTGATCTCTTCCCTCCCACCTTCTTTCTTGCTATTTAGCAGTCACTGATGTGTGACAGAATGAATGGGGACTTAATATTTAATTAGTTGTCTATTAGCCTCCTAGCTTTTTAGAGGTGATGAAATAAACAGAGTTTCTCAACTAAATCAAAAAGGATTAATGCTAAATTCCTGAATGTCAGTGACACAAAACTTGATATAAGCATTGAGTATCAAATATGTTCTTCTCTCTTTTCTCATTATTATTTTTAATCACATAATTTTCCATATATTAAAAAAAATAATGTCAGTGCCCAGAACATAAATACCTACATTTGGTTACATATTTAGATCTGAAATTACTTTGCAAAAGATGGAAACCTGTTTACTTTCCCTTTTGAAAAATGGAAAGTTGTGCCCAGTGAAAGCCAGTACACTCTCAGCTTCCTGAGTGTTAGACCACCCACCTTCAAGAAAACAAACATGTTGGTTTTGGGAAGAAAAACCAGAACAGTAATATGTTTTGAGACTCTTAAATTCCAATCAAGTGTGCTGTTCAACTCAGGTTTTGCAACAATTGTTTTTATAAAAACACTTCCTTTTTACATTGTAAATGTGTTTCACTTTCAACACCAAGCTAAAACAAGCCAATTTATCTGCTCTTCTCCCTCCATAGTATCTTCTTTTGTTGTTTTGACTTAATGATATTTCTACTAACTGGGCCACTTGACAAACATATTTCTCTACATCTAAATAAACAGAATCACTGAATCACTGAATCACTGAAGTTGAAAGGAGATCCTTCTAGTTCATCTTACATTTAAGAGGAGTGCCTCGTGTTTCTGTGCCAACTGCCTTTTGTCCCCATCGGGTATTTATGGACATTGGTTAAGATCTCCCTGAACTTTCTCTTCTCCAGCCTGAGTCGCCTCAGCAATCTCAGCATCTTCTTGTACCCTCCAGTCTTTTAATCACTTTCATGAACATTTGCTGGGGCCATACCAGTAAGTCCCTGTCTCTCTTGTACTGGTGAGCACAGAGCTGGACCCAGCACTCCAGATGTGTCTCACCATGACGAGCCGAGTGAAGGATCCCCTCCCTCAACCTACTGGCAACGCTCTATCTAATGCAGACCAGGAGGCCATTGGCCTTATTTGTTGCAAGGACACATTGCTGAGACATCAACCATTCATTCCAGTCTTGAATATTCTGAGAACTTGTTCAGGATGCACTCTGTCCCATCATTCAGGTAATTAATGAAGATTTTAAACAGTATCGACCCCTGCAGTACACCAGTAGTGACTGGCCTCCAGCTGGACATCATGCTGCTGATCACAATGCTTTGAGCATGGCAATTCAGCCAGTTTTCCATGTGCCTCACTGTCCATTTAGCTAGTCTATTCCAAAAGTTTGTCTATGAGGACGTTGTAAGAGACAGTGCCAAAAGCCTTGTTAAAGTTGAGATAAACAACATCCACTTTTCCCCGCTCATCCATGACGCCAGTCAAGTCTCATAGAATGCTATCAGTGTGGTCAGGAATTATTTTCCCTTCAAAAAATCCATGCTGACCACCTCCAGTCTTCTTCCTGTCCTTCATACCTGAAAATGGCTTCAAGAAGAATTTGCTTCAGACTTTGAGATAAGGCCGGCCAGTCTGTAGTTCATGTATCCTCCGCCTTGTCCTCCTTGAAGATAGAAGTGACTTTTTTTTTTCCTGTGATGAGAAACCTCCTCTAGTTACCGTGACCTTTCAAAGACAATTAAGAATGGTCTCACAATGCCATCAGCCAGCTCCCTCACCACTTGTGGGTGCTTCCTATGTGGTCCTCTGGACCTGTTTGTGTCCCGTTTGCTCTGTTATATGATCCTTCTTCACTGAGTTTTCCTTGATCTAGACTTTCCCACAGGTCTCAGAGGCTCTGGAATACCAGTCTTACCAGTAAAGACTGAGGTGAAAGAGCCATGGAGTGCCTTGGCATTTTCCCACAATCTTTGTCAACTTCTCTTTAATATCGTAGTGTTGTCTTGCAGAAGCCGCTATATGTGAGCACCACAGCTTTCAATTCCAGAGTCGGCAGAACCTAGTAAACATGTTTACATGCAAATATCTCCTTCCATTTGTCTACTCGTCTTCTGTCTTCTATTGTCTTCTACTTGCCTTTTGCTGATAGATGTGAAACAGTATAAGAACTCAATAAACCTAAGTACTGCAAGCAGAACTGGTCATGTTCTCTTCATCCTCAGAGTCTTTTGGAAAGAGCTTTACTTGTGTGATATCATCAATTCAATTTTTTTCCTTATAATTTATATTTTTTTTTTAAACATCAGAAGTATAATACAAGATTTGTAACCAAATGAGTAGAGAAGACACTTATCAGAGGATCTTAAAAACTAACATTTGATCATATATCTCACAGATTCCAAGCTAAAAGTTCAACTTTCTCTTAAAGTTAATCTACCAGTGATGGAGTTTCTAAATGCGAATAAGAAACACAAGCCAAATGAAATAAGTAAGAAAAAGATAACTAAGCACTGAAGTTTGCAACGCTGTCATTCTTTTGTTATTGACCTTTATTTTTTTTCCTACTGTTTATATTATTCCAGTGGGAGGTGAGATGTTGTACATCTTAAGGAATAAGTGCACTTTAAAGAGAGCACACAGCAGCACTTTTTCAAATTAAACATTTCACACACTCCGTCCCGTAAGATTTTTCTAAACTAACAGTTCATTTTAAATTAAAGCACTAAACTTCTATGAAGTATAGCCAAGGTTTGAAGAACACAACCTAAAACTCTTCAAAGCCAATGGAAACATTTAATTTAACTTTTTTTCCTAAAATATAAAAAGAGTTTACATTACCTCTAAAAAAATTAAGCAAATTATAATGAATTCTTTTTCTCCTTAGTTTTCCTTTTGTCATCTCCAATGCAACAAGGTAACAGCCCAGGTGCCTTTCAGGCATAATTGAGATAAAGTGATTTTCAAGTCATAAGAAAAATGTCTGTTTCTTGAAAGGACTCAGACAAAAAAAATCCCAAACCTTAAACAGGTAGCTAACAGTCAAATCCACCAGAAAGTAGATGTCTGGTATTCTGACAGACAGTTAAGATAACGCTTCTGTTCCCTGCAGGTGTCATTCCCTGCACGCCCAGAGGGTCTGCTGCTGCTGCCAGTTGGCGGGACTCTCCAATATGCTGTGTTCTTGAAAAGTCATGACATAATTATGTGCCATACACCTCCTGTCACTTCAGAGCACTTAGCACTTACAGAAGGTAAGTGCTCAACAGCACTCATTTGCTCAGCTTACCTGCAAGAAATATGAATATACCGAATATCCCCCTGAATTTGCTGTGGCATGCTGTCTCATAGCTCCTGTACCAAAGGTGGATGTGACCTTGCCACCATATGGCTAGAGAGTGAATGCTTTCATTGTCAGCTGCCAGAGGGGGTGAATCTATCCTAATGCATGGGGGAGTCCCCATGTTGAGTGGAGAGTGCTGAAAGATGTACACTGAGGTCCATCCAGCTGCTAACTGCACCTTTAGCTGAATAGTCTCCAGTGTTTATAACACACAGCCCCAGATCATCCTTCATTTGGTAGGTTCTTGGGAAGATTTACTTGTACTCTTACCCTGGAGATTGTCCTAACTGCAGCGAATCATATCTATATTTTCACATCCATCCCAACTCTGTCTTTTTGGCATACAGTTTCCAGGCTGCACCTGGCAGCCTTTTTCTCTTCACATTAATTTCAGCCATATAGCTATAATGTCCTTAGTGGGAATATTATAATCATACAAGAGATTTGAAATTATACCTATGCACTTGCCAATTTTCTTTGACATGTGTATTTATTAAGGAATCTTGTAAGGCAAACTAAAATACAGTATACACACAGAGAGAGAGAGAGAGAGAGAGAGAGAACTGTGGGCAAAGCAGAGAGATGTGGAAGCAAAAATGAGAGGAAATAAGGCAGATCCACCTCGTGGAAGGACAGTGAAACTATTGGCAAGGTACTTACAGATCTGTGAAGAAAATTGTGTCTTTCTTTATACATTGTATTTTTTGTTCCACCTTCTGACTTTGGCCTATGTGTCAATGAAAGGAGCTTTTTCCTAACTTCTTGGATGGTTTATTTTGTTCCATATACAGAGGAGAAAGATGAAATGAACTGCCCTTCTCCACTGACCACAGAGAGCAGGACAAGCATCAGAATTGTTTGAAAAGACTAAAATCAATCCTGTCTGAGTGTGGAGGCAGAGCAGAAATTCAGGAACAGGATCAAGGAGCAAAGTGAGAAGGCAGAGATCCCACCAGGGACTGAACATCCCTTCATCTGTGGAGCAGGGTTTTCATGACCAAGCTCAAATGAGGGAGGAGATTAAAATATGGGTGAAGGTAGGACAAAGACACACATGCTGACCTGAGCACTAGTAACACAGGTCCCAGGATAGCAGGG